TTACCAGGGAATGATTAATTACTAGGAAGAATTATTAATTACCAGAGAATGATTAGTTACCAGGGAATGATTAATTACTAGGATCAATTATTAATTCCCAGGGAATGATTAATTGCCGGGACGGTCCGTGACGGCGGGGCAGGGGTTAATTAGCGCGGGCATTAATTACCGGCGCTGTTAATGAGCCGCGGCTCGGCCCGAACAGGTGCGGGAGCGGGGGGGGGGGGGGAGGGACTGGGATGGACTGGGATAAACTGGGATAAACTGGGATAAACTGGGAGCAGGGAGGGAGGGACTGGGATGGACTGGGATAAACTGGGATAAACTGGGATAAACTGGGAGCACTGGGATAAACTGGGATGGACTGGGCTGAACTGGGAGCACTGAACTGGGATGGACTGGGATGAACTGGGGCACTGAACTGGGATGGACTGGGATGGACTGGGAGAACTGAACTGGGCTGTACTGGGAGCACTGAACTGGGCTGGACTAGACTGGGCTGGACTGGGAGCGCTGGGGTGAACTGGGATGGACTGGGGGCACTGAACTGGGAGCACTGGGATGGACTGGACTGGGATGCACTGGGAGCACTGAACTGGGATAGACTGGGATGGATTGAACTGGGCTGAACTGGGAGAACTGGGCTGAACTGGGAGCACTGAACTGGGATGGACTGGGATGGACTAGACTGGGCTGAACTGGGAGCACTGGGCTGGGGGACCTGGGCTGAACTGGGATGGACTGGGCTGGACTGGGATGGACTGGGCTGGACTGGGATGGACTGGGCTGGACTGGGATGGACTGGGCTGGACTGGGATGGACTGGGCTGGACTGGGATGGACTGGGCTGGACTGGGATGGACTGGGCTGGACTGGGATGGACTGGGCTGGACTGGGATGGACTGGGCTGGACTGGGATGGACTGGGAGCACTGAACTGGGAGCACTGGGATGGACTGGGAGGGACTGGGCTGGACTGGGCTGCACTGGGAGCACTGAACTGGGAGCTCTGGGATGGACTGGGAGGGACTGGGATGGACTGGGCTGGACTGGGATGAACTGGGAGCTCTGGGCTGGACTGGGCTGAGTTATCAATTACTGGGTGTGATTGATTACCATGGAATTATTGATTACCTTGGAATGATTGATTACGGGGCAGTGATTAATTACCACAGAATGATTAATTAGCATGAATCATTAATAACCATGAATTGTTATTGACCAAGGTGACTAATGACCTTAGGGGGTTAATTAGCAGGAATGATTAATGACCGGGGATTATTAATTACCAGGAATGATTAATGAGCGGGGCTGCAGGAGGAGTTAATTAGCAGCAGGGATTAATTACCAGGAATGATTAATGAGCGGGGCTGCCGCAGAGGTTAATTAGCGGGGATGATTAATGACGGGGATGATTAATGACCGGGATGATTAATGACAGGGATGATTAATGACGGGGATGCCACAGGGGTTAATTAGCGGGGATGATTAATGACGGGGATGATTAATGACGGGGATGATTAATGAGCGGGGCTGCCGCAGGGGTTAATTAGCGGGAATGATTAATGACGGGGCTGATTAATGACCGGGCTGCCGCAGGGGTTAATTAGCGGCAGGGATTAATTACCGGGGAAAGGCAGAGACAGCGACAGGTGTGGGGGGGAGGGGCGGGAGTCATACTGGTCTGCAGGCCATGGATGCCCCCTCAGAGGCCGCTGATGATGAAGGTGATGATGATGAGGAGTCATTGGCGCAGGCTCAGCAGCGCCTCCTGCAGGTCTGTACTGGTTTATACTGGTCTGTACTGGTCTGTACTGGTTTGTACTGGTTCGTGCTGGCTTACACTGGTCCATACTGGTTTATACTGGACACCGCGGGACAGCTGGGGCACCCTGGGGCACTCTCGGGGACAGCTGAGGGACCCTGGGGACAGCGGGGGCACCCCCCGGGCCACCTTTGGGGACAGCTGGGCCACCCCGGGCCACCCTTGGGGACACCGCGGGACCCTGGGGACAGCTGGGCCACCCTGGGGACAGCAGGGGGACCCTTGGGGACAGCTGGGCCACCCTGGGGACAGCTGGGGGACCCTTGGGGACAGCTGGGCCACCCTGGGGACAGTTGGGGGACCCTGGGGCACTCTGGTGACACCTGTGGGACAGCTGGGGGACCCTGGGGGACAGCTGGGCCACCTTGGGGACCCTGGGGACAGCGGGAGGATCCTGGGGACAGCTGGGGGACCCACTGGTTAGACTGGTCTGTACTGGTCTGTACTGGTTTGTACTGGTTATACTGGTCTGTACTGGTCTGTACTGGTCTGTACTGGTCTGTACTGGTTTGTACTGCTCTGTACTGGCCTGTACTGGTTTGTACTGGTTATACTGGTCTGTACTGGTCTGTACTGGTCTGTACTGGTCTGTACTGGTCTGTACTGGTTATACTGGGTTATACTGGATTATACTGGTCTGTACTGGTCTGTACTGGTCTGTACTGGTTAGACTGGTCTGTACTGGTCTGTACTGGGTTATACTGGATTATACTGGTCTGTACTGGTTATACTGGTCTGTACTGGTCTGTACTGGTTATACTGGGTTGTACTGGTTATACTGGGTTATACTGGATTATACTGGTCTGTACTGGTTATACTGGTCAGTACTTAGTTAGACTGGTCTGTACTGGTGATACTGGTTATACTGGTCTGTACTGGTTTTAATGGTTTGTACTGGTTAGACTGGGTTTTACTGGTCTGTAATGGTTATACTGGTCTGTATTGGTTTTACTGGTCTGTACTGGTCTGTACTGGTTAGACTGGTTTGTACTGGTGATACTGGTTCATACTGGTCTGTACTGGTTAGACTGGTTTACACTGGTTCGTACTGGTCCCTACTGGTTCATACTGGTTTGTACTGGTTATACTGGTTTACACTGGTCCATACTGGTCCATACTGGTTCGTACTGGGTTATACTGGTCCATACCGGTTTATACTGGTCCATACCAGTTTGTATTGCTTTCTACTGGGTTATACTGGTTTACACTGGTTCATACTGGTTTACACTGGTTCATACTGGTCCATACTGGTCCATACTGGTCCAGGCCATGGATGCCCCCTCGGATGAAGGTGACGATGATGATGATGAGGAGTCGGTGCCGCGGGCTCAGCAGCGCCTCCTGCAGGTCTGTACTGGTCTGTACTGGTCTGTACTGGTCTGTACTGGTCTGTACTGGTCTGTACTGGTCTGTACTGGTCTGTACTGGTCTGTACTGGTCTGTACTGGTCTGTACTGGTCTGTACTGGTCTGTACTGGTCTGTACTGGTCTGTACTGGTTTGTACTGGTTATACTGGTCTGTACTGGTCTGTACTGGTTTGTACTGGTTCATACTGGTCTGCAGGCCATGGATGCCCCCTCAGAGGCCGCTGATGATGAAGGTGATGATGATGAGGAGTCATTGGTGCAGGCTCAGCAGCGCCTCCTGCAGGTTTGCACTGGTTTATACTGGTTTGTACTGGTTTGTACTGGTCTGTACTGGTCTGTACTGGTTTGTACTGGTTCATACTGGTGTGCAGGCCATGGATGCCCCCTCAGAGGGCAGTGCTGATGATGAAGGTGACGATGACGATGATGATGAGCAGTCAGTGTCACAGGCTCAGCAGCGCCTCCTGCAGGTCTGTACTGGTTTATACTGGTTTGTACTGGTCTGTACTGGTTTATACTGGTTCATACGGTCCATACCGCTTTATACTGGTCCGTACTGGTCCGTATTGGTCCGTACTGGTCCGTACTGGTCCGTACTGGTCCATACTGGTTTATACCGGTCCATACTGGCCCATGCGCTGGTCCGTACTGGTCCATACTGGTCCGTACTGGTCCGTACTGGTCCATACTGGTTTATACTGGTCTGTACTGGTTTATACTGGTCCATACCGGTCCGTACCGGTCCGTACCAGTCCATACTGGTTTATACTGGTCTGTACTGGTTTATACTGGTCTGTACTGGTCCATACTGGTCCGTACTGGTCCGTACCGGTCCGTACCGGTTTATACTGGTCCGTACTGGTCCGTACCGGTCCGTACTGGTCCATACTGCTCCGTACTGGTTTATACTGGTCGGCAGGCGCTGATGGCGCGCGCGGAGCGGGCGCTGCCCCGGCGGGCGCTGGAGCGGGACTGGGCCGTGCTGGGCGAGCTGGGCAGCGGCTCCTACGGGCGCGTGCTGCGGGCGCGGCCCCGGCGCGGAGGTGAGCGCACCTGGGCACAGGTACAGACACATTGGGGGGGCATGGGGACAGGGACAGACACACCTGGGGGCACGGGGACACCTGGGACAGGGACAGACACACCTGGGACACACCTGGGCACAGGTACAGACACACCTGGGGACACACCTGGGGGGCATGGGACACTCGGCTCCTACGGGCGCGTGCTGCGGGCGCGGCCCCGGCGCGGAGGTGAGCGCACCTGGGCACAGGTACAGACACACCTGGGGGGCATGGGGACACACCTGGGACAGGGACAGACACACCTGGGACACCTGGGGACACACCTGGGGGGGCATGGGGACAGCTGGGGACAGCTGGGGACAGGGACAGACACACCTGGGGCACCTGGGGACAGCTGGGGACACCTGGGGACAGCTGGGGACACCTGGGGGGTCATGGGCACTCCTGGCGATACACTTGGGCACACCTGAGTGCACTTGGGGTCACCTGGGCACACCTGGGGATCAGCTGGGTCATTGTCCCCTCGGTGTCCCCAGGTGTTTCTGTCCCTCCCCCAGGTGTGTCTGTCCCTGTCCAGGTGTGTTACCTGTCCAGGTGTGTGTCTGTCCCTGCCCAGGTGTGTTCCCTGACCCCGCTGTTACCTGCGCAGGTGTGTCACCTGTCCAGGTGTGTTCCCTGTCCCTGACCCCGCTGTTACCTGTCCCTGTCCAGGTGTGTTACCTGTCCAGGTGTGGTCTGTCCCTGTCCAGGTGTTTACCTGGGCAGGTGTGTCACCTGTCCAGGTGTGTTCCCTGTCCCTGACCCCGCTGTTACCTGTCCCTGTCCAGGTGTGTTACCTGTCCAGGTGTGTCACCTGACGCAGCTGTTACCTGCCCAGGTGTGTTACCTGTCCCTGTCCCAGGTGTGTTCCCTGACCCCGCTGTTACCACCTGCCCAGGTGTGTGTCTGTCCCTGACCCCGCTGTTCCCCGCGCAGGTGTGTTACCTGCCCAGGTGTGTTACCTGTCCCTGTCCCAGGGGTGTTCCCTGACCCCGCTGTTACCACCTGCCCAGGTGTGTGTCTGTCCCTGACCCCGCTGTTCCCCGCGCAGGTGTGTTACCTGCCCAGGTGTGTTACCTGTCCCTGTCCCAGGGGTGTTCCCTGACCCCGCTGTTACCACCTGCCCAGGTGTGTGTCTGTCCCTGACCCCGCTGTTCCCCGCGCAGGTGTGTTACCTGCCCAGGTGTGTTACCTGTCCCTGTCCCAGGTGTGTTCCCTGACCCTGCTGTTCCCCACACAGGTGTGTTACCTGTCCCTGCTGTTACCTATCCAGGTGTGTTCCCTGTCCCTGACCCGCTGCTCCCCGCGCAGGTGCCCCGGTGGCGCTGAAGCTGCTCTCCAAGGAGCGCACGCCCAGGTGGGGCTTCCTGCGCGAGTTCTGCACGCACCTGTGCCTGCGCGGGGCGCTCACCTGCGTGCAGGTGCTGCCGCTCGCCTTCGAGACCCCCACGGAGTTCGGCTTCGCCCAGGAGCTCGCACCTGCGGGGGACCTGTGCGGGCTGCTCACACCTGGGGTGAGTCACAGCTGGGACAGGTGTGGGACAGGTGTGACAGGTGCGACAGGTGAGTGGGACAGGTGAGTCACAGGTGTGGCACAGGTGAGGGACAGGTGTATCAGGTGAGTCACAGGTGTGAGGTGAGGGACAGGTGAGTGACAGGAGAGTGACAGGTGAGAGGGACAGGTGAGTGGGAAGAGGGGACAGTTTTGCACCTGGGTGGGAGGACAGGTGTGCTCAGGTGGCCTCTCACAGGTGTGACAGGTGAGGGACAGGTGTGACAGGTGAGGGACAGGTGGGACAGGTGAGAGGGACAGGTGAGTGGGAAGAGGGGACAGTTTTGCACCTGGGTGGGAGGACAGGTGTGCTCAGGTGGCCTCTCAGGTGACACAGCGCTGGCTGGGTGACAGTGCTGAATGTCCCCAGGTGTGCCCCCAGGTGCCCCCAGGTGACCCCAGGTGTATCCCCCGTCCCCAGGCGTGTTACCTGTCCCCAGGTGTGACCCCAGGTGTGTCCCCCATGCCCAGGTGGGTCTCCCGGAGCCACAGGTGAATCACTGCCCCTCCCAGGTGCCCCCAGGTGTGTCCTCAGGTGTGATCTCAGGTGTGCCCCCAGGTGTGTCTCCCTGAACCACAGGCGAACCCTCCCAGGTGACCCCAGGTGTGCCCCCAGGTGACCCCAGGGGTTTCACCTGTCCCCAGGTGTGTCCTAGGTGCCCCCAGGTGTGACCCAGCTGTGTCCCCGTCCCCAGGTGTGTTACCTGTCCCCAGGTGACCCCAGGTGTGTCCCCCATCCCCAGGTGCCCCCAGGTGTGACCCAGGTGTGTCCCCAGGTGCCCCCAGGTGTGACCCCAGGTGTGTCCCCTCTCCCCAGGTGTGTTACCCGTCCCCAGGTGTGTCCCAGGTGTGTCCCAGGTGCCCCCAGGTGTGCCCCCAGGTGACCCCAGGTGTGTCCCCGTCCCCAGGTGGGCCTCCCGGAGCCGCAGGTGAACCCTCCCAGGTGACCCCAGGTGTACCTCGAGCTGCCCCCAGGTGACCCCAGGGGGTTTCACCTGTCCCCAGGTGTGTCCCCCATCCCCAGGTGTGCCCCCAGGTGCCCCCAGGTGTGACCCCAGATGTGTCCCCGTCCCCAGGTGTGCCCCCAGGTGCCCCCAGGTGCCCCCAGGTGCCCCCAGGTGCCCCCAGCCCCCAGGTGTGACCCAGGTGTGTCCCCGTCCCCAGGTGTGCCCCCAGGTGTGACCCAGGTGTGTCCCCGTCCCCAGGTGTGCCCCCAGGTGTGACCCAGGTGTGTCCCCGTCCCCAGGTGTGCCCCCAGGTGTGACCCAGGTGTGTCCCCGTCCCCAGGTGTGCCCCCAGGTGTGACCCAGGTGTGTCCCCGTCCCCAGGTGTGTTACCTGCCCCCAGGTGTGACCCAGGTGTGTCCCCGTCCCCAGGTGGGCCTCCCGGAGCCGCAGGTGAAGCGCTGCGCCGCCCAGGTGAGCTCGGCGCTGGCTTACCTGCACGGCCACGCCCTGGTGCACCGCGACCTGAAGCTGGACAACGTGCTGGCCTTCGACCGCGAGTGCCACCTGGTCAAGGTGGGCGACTTCGGCCTGACGCGCGTGCAGGGCTGGCAGGTGCGCCCCGGCCCCGCCCCCGGCCCCGCCCCCTACGCCGCGCCCGAGCTGCTGCACCTGCGGGCAGGTGAGGCGCGGCTGGAGCCCGCCGTGGACACCTGGGCGTTCGGCGTGCTGCTCTTCGCGCTGCTCACCGGCGCCTTCCCCTGGCGCTCACCTGCGCGCTCCGACCCCGCCTTCCGCCGCTTCCGCGCCTGGCACGGCCGCACCTGCGCAGGTGAGGCGCGGCCGCCGCGCACCTGGCGGGGGCTGGGCGGGGCGGGGCTGGCGCTGCTGCGGGGGCTGCTGCACCCCCAGCCCGCGCGGCGCTGCCCACCTGGAGAGGTGCTCAGGTACCTGGGCGGGGCCTGGGCGGGGCCGCGCCCGCAGGTGAGCCCCGCGGGGGAGGGGGGACAGGTGAGCTCTGCCAGTGAGGGGAGCCAGGTGAGCTCTGAGGGGGGACAGGTGAGCCCCGCGGGGGAGGGGGGACAGGTGAGCTCTGCCAGTGAGGGGAGCCAGGTGAGCTCTGATGGGGGACAGGTGAGCCCCGCGGGGGAGGGGGGACAGGTGAGCTCTGCAGGTGAGAGCAGCCAGGTGAGCTCGGAGGGGGGACAGGTGAGCTCTGAGGGGGAGGGGGGGAGCGGCCAGGTGAGCTCTGCAGGTGAGGGCGGGAGTGGCCAGGGATCCCCCTCAGGTGGGAGCGGCCAGGTGAGCCCCGCAGGTGAGGGAGGACAGGTGAGCTCTGCAGGTGGGAGTGGGAGCGGCCAGGTGAGCTCTGCAGATGAGAGCAGCCAGGTGAGCCCCACAGGTGAATGGGGGAGCAGCCAGGTGAGCGCTGAGAGGGAGGGGGGACAGATGAGCCCTGCAGGTGAGAGCGACCAGGTGAGCTCTGCCAGTGAGGGAGGACAGGTGAGCCCCACAGCTGAGCGGAGCCAGGTGAGCCCCGCAGGTGAGAGTGGGAGTGGCCAGGTGAGCCCCGCAGGTGAGGAGGGGAGTGGCCACGTGGCTCTCTCAGGTGAGAGCGGCCAGGTGAGCCCCACAGCTGAGGGGGGGCGCGGCCAGGTGAGCCCCGCAGGTGAGGGGGGGAGCAGCCAGGTGAGCTCTGAGGGGGAGGGGGGACAGGTGAGCTCTGCGGGGGAGGGAGGACAGGTGAGCTCTGCAGGTGAGGGGAGCCAGGTGAGCCCCGCAGGTGAAAGCGACCAGGTGAGCTCTGCAGGTGAATGGGGGAGCAGCCAGGTGAGCTCTGAGGGGGAGGGGGGACAGGTGAGCTCCGCAGGTGAGGGGAGGAGCAGCCAGGTGAGCCCCGCAGGTGAGAGTGGGAGTGGCCAGGTGAGCCCCGCAGGTGAGAGTGGGAGTGGCCAGGTGAGCCCTGCAGGTGAGAGTGGGAGTGGCCAGGTGAGCCCCGCAGGTGAAAGTGGGAGTGGCCAGGTGAGCCCCGCAGGTGACTCGGGATCCCCCAGCAGTGAGGTGGGCACACCTGGGCAGGTGAGGGGAACACCTGGACGAGGGATAGAGACACCTGGGCAGGTGAGGGGAACATTTGGGGATGCGCTGGGAACACCTGGAGCGAGATGGAAACACCTGGAGATGGGATAGAGACACCTGGAAACACCTGGGCAGGTGATGGGCACACCTGGGGTTACCTGAGCTCACCTGGACACAACTGGGCTCACCTGGACACACATCTGGAGTTACCTGGGGTTACCTGGGGATCCCTGTGCTCACCTGTGCACATCTGGGCTCACCTGAGGATACCTGGACACACCTGTGCTCACCTGTGCACATCTGGAGTTACCTGAGCTCACCTGTGCTCACCTGTGCACATCTGGAGTTACCTGAGCTCACCTGGACACACCTGCACAGACCTGAGCTCACCTGGGCTCACCTGGGCTCACCTGTGCACACCTGGAGTTACCTGAGCTCACCTGGACACACCTGCACAGACCTGAGCTCACCTGGGCTCACCTGAGCTCACCTGAGCTCACCTGGGCTCACCTGGGGATCACGAATTCAATAAAATTTCCGAGGTTTTGGATTTTTGCCTTTTTGTTTTTCTTCCTCGTTTTTTACCTGTTTGGGTCTGGTGGGTGGGGGAGGGGCGGGAAAATGGGGGGGAAATGGGGAAAAATGGGGGGGAAATGAGTTACCTGAGCTCACCTGGACACACCTGTGCTCACCTGTGCACATCTGGAGTTACCTGAGCTCACCTGGACACACCTGTGCTCACCTGTGCACATCTGGAGTTACCTGAGCTCACCTGGACACACCTGGACACACCTGTGCACATCTGGAGTTACCTGAGCTCACCTGTGCTCACCTGTGCACACCTGGAGTTACCTGAGCTCACCTGGACACACCTGCACAGACCTGAGCTCACCTGTGCTCACCTGAGCTCACCTGAGCTCACCGGGGCTCACCTGGGCTCACCTGGGGATCACGAATTCAATAAAATTTCCGAGGTTTTGGATTTTTGCCTTTTTGTTTTTCTTCCTCGTTTTTTACCTGTTTGGGTCTGGTGGGTGGGGGAGGGGCGGGAAAATGGGGGGGAAATGGGGAAAAATGGGGGGAAAATGGGGAAATTGAAGGAAAAATGGGGAAATTGAAGGAAAAATTGGGGAAATGGGAAAAAGGGGGAAAATGGGATAATTGGGAAATGGGGAAAAATGGGGAGAAAATGGGAAAATGGGGAAATGGAGAAAATGGGAAATGGGGGGGAAATGGGGGAAATGGGGGAAATGGGAAAAGAGATGGGAAAATCAATCCAAATCCCACCAATCCCATAAACCCCAATCCCATCAATCCCACCAATCATCGATCCCGTAAACCCCAATCCCATAAACCCCATCAATTCCATCAACCCCCAATGCCATAAACCCCAAATCCCCAATTCCATCAATCCCCAATCTCCCAATCCCACCAATCCCATAAACCCCAATAATCCCACCAATCCCATAAACCGCAATCCCATCAATCCCACCAATCCCCTAAACCCCATCAATCCCATCAATCCCCTAAACCCCAATAATCCCACCAATCCCATAAATCCCCAATCCCATCAATCCCCTAAACCCCAATACCATAAACACCAATAATCCCACCTAAGCCCCAATAATCCCACCAATTCCATAAATCCCCAATCCCATAAATCCCCAATCCCACCAATCCCCATAAACCCCAATAATTCCACCAATCCCATCAATCCCCAATCCCCTAAACCCCACCAATCCCCAATCCCATCAATCCCCTAAACCCCAATAATCCCACCAATCCCATAAATCCCCAATCCCATCAATCCCCTAAACCCCAATACCATAAACACCAATAATCCCACCAATCCCATCAATCCCCAATCCCCTAAACCCCACCAATCCCCAATCCCATAAAACCCCAAATCCCCAATCCTATAAATCCCCAATCCTCCAATCCCCTCAATCCCACCAATCCCATCAATCCCCAATCACCAATCCCATCAATCCCATAAACACCAATCCCATAAACCCCACCAATCCCATAAACCCCTTTAATCCCCAATCCCATAAAACCCCAAATCCCCAATCCCCTAAACCCCAGTAATCCCATCAATCCCAGTAATCCCCTAAACCCAGTAATCCCCTAAACCCCAGTAATCCCATAAACCCCAGTAATCCCATAAACCCCAGTAATCCCATAAACCCAGTAATCCCATAAACCCCAGTAATCCCATAAACCCCAGTAATCCCATAAACCCCAGTAATCCCCTAAACCCCAGTAATCCCATAAACCCAGTAATCCCATCAATCCCAGTAATCCCACAACCCCCTCTCCCGGCCCTGCCCGCTCCCGGTGCCCTTTGGAATTCCGGCGGCTCCGGGGCCGAAGTTCCCGGGGCGGCGCCTCCGGCCGGGAGCGGCTCCGGAGCCAGGTGGGGTTTGGGATCGGCCGGGACCCCGCAGGGGATTTGGGATCCCACAGGGGATTTGGGATCCCACAGGGGATTTGGGATCCTGGGGGGATTTGGGATCCCGGGGGGATTTGGGATCCCGGGGGGATTTGGGATCCCAGGGGGATTTGGGATCAGGGGGGGATTTGGGATGGATTTTTGGGATCCCAGTGGATTTTTGGGATCCTGGTGGATTTTTGGGAATATTCCCCTGGACCCCAGTGGATTTTTGGGATCCTGGTGGATTTTTGGGAATGTTTTCCCAGATCCCAGAGGATTTTTGGGATCCTGGTGGATTTATGGGATCCTGGAGGATTTTTTGGGAATATTTCTGTCAATCCCAGAGGATTTTTGGGATCCTGGTGGAATTTCGGGAATGTTTCTCTGGATCCACGTGGATTTTCGGGAACACTTCCCTGGATCCCAGTGGAATTTTCGGGATCCCGGTGGATTTTCGGGAACGTTTCCGTTTCCCCTTTCCCTTTTTCCCGTTTTCCCTTTTCCCCTTTTCCCTCTCCCACCCCATTCCCGCTTTCCCAACCCCAATTCCAGACCCTGAGCCTGGGATTTCTCCTTCCCGCAGGAACGGGATCGGGATCGGGATCGGGATTAGGATCAGGAATAGGATTGAGACTGGGGTCAGGAATAGGACCAGGATTGGGAATAGGATCAGGATTAGGATCAGGATCGGGATTGGGATTGGGATCGGGATTAGGATCAGGAATAGGATCAGGATTAGGAGTGGGATTGGGATCGGGAATAGGATTGGGATTGGGATTGGGATCAGGAATAAGACAGGATTAGGATTAGGATCGGGATCGGAATCAGGAGTGGGATTGGGATCAGGAATAGGATCAAGATTAGGATTGGGATCAGGATTGGCATCAGGAATAGGGTCAGGATTAGGATCAGGATCAGGAGTGGGATCAGGATTAGGAATAAAACAGGATTAGGATTGGGATCGGGATCAGGAGTGGGATCGGGATCAGGAATAGGACCAGGATTAGGATCAGGATCGGGATTGGGATTGGGATCAGGGTTAGGATTGAGATCAGGATCAGGAATAAGACAGGATTAGGATCGGGATCGGGATTAGGATCAGGATTAGGCTTGGGATCGGGATTGGCATCAGGAATAGGGTCAGGATTAGGATCAGGATCAGGAGTGGGATTAGGATCAGGATCAGGAATAGGATCAGGAATAGGATCGGGATTGAGATTGGGATCAGGATTAGGAATAGGATCGGGATCAGGATCAGGAATAAAACAGGATTAGGATTGGGATCAGGATCAGGAGTGGGATAGGATTTTTGACCCCAACCAATTCAGGATTATTGACCCCAACTGATTCAGGATTATTGACCCTAATCAGCCTGGGATTATTGATCCCAGTCCACTGGGGATTATTGACCCCAATCAATTCAGGATTGTTGATCCAAATCAATTCAGGATTATTGACCCCAATCAAACCGGGACTATTGACCCAAATCGGTTCAGGATTATTGACCCCAATCAATTCAGGATTATTGATCCCAATCAAACGGGGATTATTGATCCAAATCGATTCAGGATTATTGACCCAAAACAAACCGGCATTATTGACCCCAATCAATTTGGGATTATTGACCCAAATCAATTTGGGATTATTGACCCCAATCAATTCAGGATTATTGACCCCAATCGATTCAGGCTTATTGACCCCAATTGATTCAGGATTATTGATCCAAATAAATTCAGGGTTATTAACCCCAATCAAACCGGGATTATTGACCCAAATCGATTCAGGCTTATTGACCCCAATCGATTCAGGATTATTGACCCCAATCGATTCAGGATTATTGACCCCAATCGGTTCAGGATTATTGACCCCAATCAATTCAGGATTATTGATCCAAATCGATTCAGGATTATTGACCCAAAACAAACCGGCATTATTGACCCCAATCAATTTGGGATTATTGACCCAAATCAATTTGGGATTATTGACCCCAATCAAACCGGGATTATTGACCCCAATCAATTCAGGATTATTGACCCCAATCGATTCAGGATTATTGACCCCAATCGTTTCAGGATTATTGACCCCAATCGATTCAGGATTATTGACCCCAATCGGTTCAGGATTATTGATCCCAACCCCTGGTGCCGCAGGGACGCTCCGGGAGCCGCTGCTGGTGCTGGAGGGGCCGGAGGCGGGCGGGCTCCGGCTCCGGTGCCTCCCGGAGCCCCTTCCCGACGTCCGCGCGCTCTGGAGCGCCGGCAGCGGCCCGAACGCCTCGGGAATTCCGGAGCCCGTCGGGAATTCCGGGCTCTCGCTGCTGCTGCGGCCGGGGCTGGGCAACGCCGCCGTGTGCCGCGCCCTGCGCCGCGGAGCGGCCGCCGAGTCCGCCGTGGTCATCGGCGGTGAGCGCCGGAACGGGGCGCGGAACGGGGAAATCGGCGCGGAGTGGGTGGGGTATGGGGAGGTTTGGGATGGGCTTCAATGGGGTTCAGTGGGGTTCAATGGAGTCTGATGGGGTTCAGTGGGGTCTGATGGGGTTCAGTGGGATTCAATGGGGTTGGATGGGGTTCAATGGGGTTCAGTGGGGTTCAATGGGGTTGGATGGGGTTCAGTGGGGTCTGATGGGGTTCAGTGGGGTCTGATGGGGTTCAGTGGGATTCAATGGGGTTGGATGGGGTTCAATGGCGTTCAATGGGGTTGGGTG